TAATGTAAAATAGGCTAAAAGGTCTCAACAAGCAGGACACTAAGCCAAGATCAATAGAAATGAGGAGATAGAGGAGAAGAGAAAGACATTTTTTAAAATATATTATTCTGGAAATGGAGAACACTTTTGAACAGTGGTGACCTTTCCTAAATCGTATCCGTGGGAGAGCTACAAGGCAAAAACCACCGCTAACCAAGAAAACGCAAAACCTTGTCTCACATCTGCCAAAAAACACCTTGATGACCCCCAAGCCTGTTGGAATGACGTTCTATGGACTAATGAGTTGAAAGCTTTTGGAAAAAAGGGGTCGCATTACATCTGACACAGCATTCCAATTAGGATCGTACTAGTGATCAAACATGGTGGGGGCAGCGTGATGGAGATACTTTACTGCTTCAGGACCTGATCGCCTCTCCATAATTGACGGAACCATGAATTCTGCTCTGTACCAGAGAATCCTGCTGGAGAATGTGTGGTCAATTGGGTTACGCAGACAATGATCTGCAGCATAAAAGCTAAAAAAAGAAGCAAAGTTTAGGTTTTGGTTGTCTGGTCAAAGTTCCTGAACCCTGTTGAGATGAGGTGAAACTGGGTTTCGTCTAAAATAAAACTGATGTTGTTAATGAAACACTGACCGCCTCAGAAAGCTTCTCTGTCTTTGAACCTGATGTTTCTTCTCTTGTTTGTTTGTTGTGTGTTTGTTTTCATATTATTTGTTTGTTTGTTATATACAGATATGTGCAAATGTTTGGGCACCCCTAGTAAATTTACATATTTTGTTGACTTTCTGAGTGAACATGAATACACGTCCTACAGAGACTCAATTCTGCACAATTTAATGCACAATTACTGTTTATTTGCTCAATTTAACAAACTGGAAAAAAAAATCTCCAACAGAGTTATATTTTATATTTGTTGTTTAATTTTGTCTTTAAAAAAAACAGTAAATAAGTAGAAAGTTTATGCTAAAATTTCAGAAAGTTGTCATTAAGTGGCAGGTAGAGGATTACATTTACTGTAAAGGATGTGTTCACTTAGAAAATCAACGAAACAGAGGAACTTAAACTTTTGTTTATGACTATATTTTCTATACAATTTTCTGTGCGTCTTGATTGGTGGACTTTAAAGCCATCTTTAAACATCTGTATGTAAATGCATTAAGCATTTATTTGTTAAATCTATAACAAAATTTGTCAAATCTATAACAAAAACTAGAATGAAAACAGAATAATATAAAAAAAACATGATTTTTAACTAGCAAAACACACTTAATGCTTTCCTCAGACTTTTACACTGTAGTAGATTCTAAGAAATGTACAGTACTGTGCAAAAGTCAGATACAACCTGTATTTATTTAATTTCCAGTCAAAATGGTTATTAAGTACATACAGATATTTCTGAGATTAAATTTGAAATAATCCACTTTGATAAGGAAATTAAAAATCAAAAGAAAAGTGGGAAAAAAAACTCATTTGCAAAACTCGAGTTTAAAAAACGATTACAATATTCAGAGAAAATGGATCTCCTAACAACCAGACGGGACCTGGTAGACCCCCAGAACTGTCTCCATCAGACAACAGCACTTAAAGATTTCATCTTTGGGAGAAAATCAAGCTCCACTGTGAGAGGAGAATTCAACACTGTGGGTCTGAAAGGATGAGCAGCTGTGAAGAAGCTCATACTGAGAAAAAGAAACAAAAAAAAGAACATTTGCAAATCAAATAAAGAGGCTGCTGGTGTTCTCAAAACTGTAGACTGACCACCCCAGAGTCCAGACTTTAACATTCCTGAATGTGTTTGAGATTATTTGGACTGTGAAAAGTAAAAAATGCAACCAAATCCTAAGACTGAGCTTTGGAGATGTGGAGAAACATCCCTGCATCTCTTATAAGCAGGTCTTCAGAAAAGAATGGAAGTTGTAATAAAAAGGCAAAGGTTAAATACATTAAACACTGAAGATGCTTAAATGACATTTCATTGTAATTTCCTGTTAAATATATGGTTTTGCTTTTTTCCTCATACTGAAAAGTGAATTGCACAAAAAGGCTGTTTGACTGGGAACTAAATAAAGGAAGGCGGTCTCTGACTTTTACACTGTGAGGAACTGATTATGTGCTTTGTGTCTTATGAAAAAGTCTAGTTGAGGACAGATTTGAAGTCTGATTGGCTTCTGTCTTCTGTCAGATGAAAGATAAAAAATGTAGAAATGAAAAGGAAGAACCACTTCTGATTCCTGAAATTTTTGATTCCTCAAAGTACGGGTCTGTATCGAATCAACGTTTTAGATCATATAAAAATATCTGTGTTGCAGGGGATAAATGATTCTAATATGCTGGTCCTGTGTGATTTCATACATTGCAAATAACTCATAGGATATTAGGAAAATGTAAATCAAAATTAAGAAATTCTAGACTGTTCCACAGAAGACATGCAGACCTGTGGTTCTCAAACTGTTTCTTAAGGAATCCCAGATTGTGTCAAATGGAATGAAGCCAAAAAAGAACCACTTTTTGATTCCTGAAAAAAAAATTTGATTGCTCAATATATAATTCAGTTAAGAACTTTACCTTTAATGAGAGAATGAGGAACCTTTTACAGTTTAAAGAAATTCCACATGATAAAGGTTCTATACCAACTATTTTTTATCTAGAACTGTATTTCCTTGCAAAGAACCACTGGGGAACCTTTATTTTTGAGGGTCTATTGTAATGGGGATGCATTGATCAGAGGGTTTGGCCAGACAGCTTTTTATATTTGCACTTACAGAGTAATAGACAGTTTGGGATGAAGTGCATTTTAGCTTTTGTCCTCTTTGTTATCCAGGCTTTCACAGCCGTGTGCCGGTGAGCTTCTCTTTAATCCAGAATTCAGTTTCTTTAAAAGACACAAATTGCAATCAGATCTATCGGATTGTCTTTTTTGTTTTGCCACATTTCTCCCTCAGCCTACACTCTGCATCCCTCTGACATCTTCCTGAAATGTTCCTCTGTGTGCTGACAGTCTCTCTCTGATTGTGTTGAGAGGAAAAGCTTTTTGAGGCTCTTCATTCTTTCCGAGACACCTACAGCGTTCGAGGTCATGAGCCAAATAAATCACATTCACAAGGCGAGACCGAAACCCAAATTATTTCTTATATGTTTACAAGTGTTTTTCTCCTCCAATAAAAAGGCTGAACAGAAATTCCTCTTCATTACACTATTTTCCAGGTTTAGCTCTTCATAGCTGTGGTAGATAAAAACAACAAGACTCCTAATGGGCAAAAGGGAGAGGTTAAAACTATCCACACATCAGGCACTAAAACTGGCTGTGAATCACACATTATAACAATATTTAAAATTCCAACAAGTGACAAGCATCATTTACAGCAAGGAAGACAGCACAGCCTTTCTTACATACACACGGACTACACTGAGCTGCTGCTCGTCGACACTTTAGACAGTGCTTAGTGTGGAATCTGCATTTTCCCCCAATAAAACATAACAGACGATCTATTTCATTCTGTTACTTTCTTTAAAGAGGAATTCCACTGATTTTTCAGACTTGCTGCGTAATTAAACCATTAAGACCTAAACAAAGTCATTCAGAGTGGTTTGATGTGAGTCAGAAATGTTCACAGTGGTGGTGATAGGAACCAGACGTCTGTGCAATGCCTCTAAAATCTCCATCACAGAAAATTAGTACACAAAATGGTTATGAAATCACGGATGCCTGAGACGTTGTTTTACGATGGTTTTGAGTTCAGGTTTAAATCTATTCAGGGAGGAGGGGAACATGCAGGCTAGTCTAAGGCAAAAAGAAGCGTGTTTTTTCAGACTTACCGCTATTTTATCATCATTTATCATCATTACAGACTCAGAAGACACGTGTGGGTTCACTGGTCATTGTGGACAGTGGTTATAATGGCTGTGTAGGCATTGTAAACATTACAGTCTCTGGTTCCCATCAGCACCACTGTAAAGAAATCTGAGTAAGTTTCTCTACAGTGAACTGTTTCACATCAAACCTCTCTGACTCTGTTTACAGCTCAGCCAGTAAATTAGCGAAAACTGAATATTTACCTCCGTATGAACGTAGCAGGATAATGTGCCCTGGCTTGAAAACAGCATGATTGTTTACGGTCATCAGTGCAGCAATTGCTCAAATGAATGAAAATTGGACAGCTGCAGGACAGATGACGTCCAATTAGTCCACCCTGAATGTAACCCCATTTTGTGGTTTTAAAACAAAAAATAATAGTATGTTTTTTGTAATCAGCTGATGATGCACTTTGACAAAACTAGTAAGTGAGGAAATAGGAATTCACAATCATTAATGGCTCTTTCTTTTCAGTCAAAGCAGGAAAAACATATTTTTACATTTTTACAAAGTTCACCTACCACTGTAGTGTAGGGCTGATAAAAGTGTATTAAAACAAACCACAATTGAGATTCTGTATTATTGTCATTCTTGAACTGACCCCATGGGGGCGTTACAGCAGCCAGCGGCACGGACCCACTGTAGGCCCTCTCTCCGCTGGAGGTCAGTCTGCAGCAGAGTTAGCAGTTCGGCTGGGTCTTTTCTGTCCAGGGTTTTGTGAGCTGATGCGCACTGAGCTCTGTTACAGGACTGCCTGGTCTCTGATGGTTATGGCAGAGAGCCTCAGCGGCAGGAAAAGCTCCAGCCTTCGTTAAGCGGACTCCACGGCCTGAAAACGGCTCTGTGTTTTCTGCGTTTTCATAATAATTAATATGTTAATCTGTTTTCAAAATACATTTTTGAAAAACAGCAGTGAAAGCACACCGCGCGGCCCCGCTATAGGTACAGTAATATATAGTTTATTAGAGTTTCAGGCCTTTATTTTCCTGTAATTTGTATGTTTTTCGTCGTTCTTTACTCCGTCTCTGTGCAGGGTGTAGGTTGTAGGGTGTAGGGTTTAGGGGAAGTGAGCGAGGGCGAGTTCTCCTTCTCGGATTAGACGCGACCCGTCACGCGGCCTCGCCGCCCCGTATGTTCCCAACACGAACCGGAAGTCTATTGCATGGAACTGCAAACAGAAGTGCGTCACTCACTGCGCTGCGCGCGATCGGAGTGTCTGCTGCAGAAACCGAACCGCGCGCTTCTGCGTTAAGGCGCGTCTATCATGGTGAAGATCGCGTTTAACTCCGCTCTGGCGCTGAAGGCGCAGAAGGCGCTGGGAAAGGAGCCGCTCGGCTCCGAGAAGGTGAGGCTGCGCTGTGCGCGGCTTGGTTAGCTTAGCTTAGCTTAGCTTAGCTTAGCTTGCTAAGCTGCTGTGAACCGGCGAATTTACCACAGGCGGCTCCGGTTAAACCGCGCAGTGACCGTGGCTTATAGTTCAGAATTTGCTTAGACGTGCTTTTGTTACCGGCCGCGCCCTCGGTGTCTCGGTTGCCCGGTTGTCCGGTTGCTGTCCGAGCTGAGGGAGCGGGTGAAGCCGAGCTGCTGTTTTCGGTCCTCCATTTTAAAACGCTGCCAGCTGTTTCAGCGCCGCGCAGCCGAACCTGCGCAGCAGCTGTGCGGCGTTACAGTCAGCATCCATGATTAAGTACAGCGTTCAGAATCATCCTGATCGATTACTGAATGTGTCATTAGTTTTCTGAAAAATATGTTTATGGCCGTTTAGTTGGACAGAGTCGTATCTGCCCCACTGCTGGCCTAACGGTAGTAACGGTAGTAACGGTAGTCTCATTGTTGTGTGTGTGGTTTCACTGCGCAGGACCCGGAGACGGGCTCCGTGTACGGCACTGAGAGCTCCACAGGCCGCTGCCTGCTCACCCTGCTGGGCCTGGCCTTCATCTTATCCGGCCTCATCGTTGGCGGTGCCTGTGTGTACCGCTACTTCACCCCCAAGGTACGTCTGCTCAGCTGACCGCTTTGGCCCTCTTGGGTCAGCGATTGATTTTGCATGACAGTTCCGGATAATGTGTGTTTTTACGTGCGTCACCAGATTTGACCCGCCAGTGTATTTCTCTGATATTCTATTGTGCGATAATGTAAATCACACACGCGGGAATGTTTAAAGAAAGGCCTGATAGTCTGGTTAACGAAGATGTCCAGATTCCTGATATAGCAACTAGCAGTTTGTAGCAAAAGTGGTGGAGTTTTTAAACACTGTGTCCACTCACTGTCCACTCTATTAGACACTCCTACCTTGTCAGTCCACCTTGTAGATGTGAAGTCAGAGATGATAGCTCATCTGCTGCTGCACAGTTTGTGTTGGTCATCCTCTTGTCCTTCATCAGTGGTCACAGGACGCTGCCCACAGGACAGATTGGTGGTGGACTATTCTCAGTCCAGCAGTGACACCGAGGTGTTTAAAAACTCCAGCAGCACTGCTGTGTCTGATCCACTCAGACCAGCGCAACACACACTAACACCACCACCACGTCAGTGTTACTGCAGTGCTGAGAATGATCCACCACCCAAATAGTACCTGCTCTGTGAGGGTCCATGGGGGTCCTGACCACTGAAGAACAGGGTAACAAAGTATCAGAGAAACAGATGGACTACAGTCTGTAACTGTAGAACTACAGAGTGAAACTATACGGTTAGTGGAGCTCATATATATTATACGCACACGGTTTCACTAACCAATTGTTTGGCGTGCACTGAAAACGTTATCATCAGGAAAACATTCCACCGATTTTTTTTTTTGTTTGTTTTTTGTTTTTTTTCTCTCTTTAACATTTCAGCATAATTCAGTCATTGGGATGTAAACAGCCATTCAGGGTGGTTTGATATGAAGTGCTGCTATCTAGTAAATCTTAATGATTCAGGTTTCTTTACAATTGTTTAAATGTGTATATATATATATATATATATATATATATATTTCAAAGTAATATCTCTGGCAGTTTCTCAATGTTGGAGGCGTTTGGTGCGTAGGATGTTGGGATCCACCTTCTGACTCAGTAAGTTTTTCTACAACGGCACATTTCAGCCTGTCAGACCACTCTGAATGACTTTGGTTACATGTTTATAGTTGAATTTTGAAAAGAAAAGTGGTTGGAATTCCCCCTTTAAACAGTGCTCAAACTAAGTGAGTAAGTTTAAGTGTTGTGCAGTTACTGCCCCCTGTTGTGTATAAAAAGTACTACTAATATTTGAAGGTGGCTCTGACAAACTTTTCTCCCCCCACAGTGAAATATTACTAAGCTCTTATGGTCTGATTTACATAAGAACATATGGTATTGTGAGTCAACGCTCAGGATTTTTTTGCATTTTAAAATGAGGACCTTTTTTAAGATTAGTGTGATTAACTCGCAGCTTACTTGCTGCCGTTGAACGTGCTTTACCTTGTGGTTTTACAGCTGTAGGGAAAGTAGGGAAAAAGTCACACCCAGTTTCATCTTCCCTTTCGTTCCCGAAAAGCAAAACCAACTGGCCTGTGAACAAGTTACTCCATTCCAATCCTGTTTCCTCTTTTCCAATTTTGGCCGGACCTGTTAGTGATGCTGTTTTATTTGCTTTACAGAAATTGTACCACGGGTCCATGCAGTTCACCGAGTTGGACAGTGCTGATATGCCCATGGATGTAGAGGAACGTGAGCCTTACTATTTGCCCCGCATCGATGAGGATGTGGAGATCCGTGACAACGTGGCTATCATTAACGTGCCAGCCCCTCGCTTCGGCGAAGGTGACCCAGCGTACATTCTGCATGACTTTAAAAGGGTAAGAAATACACTGACACAGCAAGTAATGGAGATCCTGCAACCTTCTCAAGATAATTACCGCAAGTTGTTTTGGCGTATTTAGAAACTGTAGGTCTGAAATCAGTGGATGGTTGATTTGTAGGGGCCATATTTTCCCCTCTAAATGTGAGTGAAGCTCTTTAATCATGTGTTCAGTAATCAGCACATTCGTGCTGTATTAGAGAAAAAGTGTTAATCCTTATTGTATAAACAGTCGGCCAGTAGTGACTGTAATCATCGCCGTATGTCCTCAATAAACAGAAAATGACCGCGTACCTGGACCTGACTCTGAGGACGTGTTTCGTGATCCCACTCAACACCTCAGTGGTGCTGCCCCCTCAAGACCTCATGGATCTGTTTATGCAGCTCATGGTATGTGTGGAGCCTCATAAACCTTCTTATGTGTCTACAGTAGGACTATTCACTCTTCCGGAAGTGAGGCAGTACACAAAACATGAGTTTTAGTTTTTGCCGCAAAGATTTTGAGGTTATAAGATTTCTGTGATTGTTTGTTTGTATGGTTTATCATGGGGGAAAAATAAAGCTGCTGGACAAAAACAAAGATCAGATTTGACTAAATAATACTCATCAAAATATGTCATATGCTTTATGTAATTCTGGAATGTTTTACATTTTTCCTGGCGTCTGATCAGTCCGGCTCTTATAAGTCTTACTTGGTGCATGAGGATCTGGTGGTGACCGAACGCGTGGATGACCTCGTCCCTCTGGGTTACTACATCTACAGCCTGTGTGAGGGCAAAGCCACGTACAAGATGCAGCGTCGCAGTGAGATTATAGGTAAATGCTGTTCTGTGTGTGTGTGTGTGTGTGTGTGCGCACTTAAAGGAGTGGTTCTGTAAAAAGATAAATTAAAATTTGCAGTTTTGCTTTAGTTTTTCAAAGCTACAAGGCTAATGCTATAACACACACTAGAAGTAAATAGTCACCTAATTTTTTCTGTAAATACATCCACAAAACCTCTCTCAACCTGCTCCAGTCAAATCCTGCTTTTCTTTTCTCTCTTTTAGGACACATTATGACGAATTTGAAAAATATGGCGAAATTGAAAAAAAAAATCAACAAAACTTCATAGTTTTTGTAGTTCACAGTTTTGACTGGATGAGTATTTGAGATGAATTCATGGAAAAGATTTTGGTCATTATTGATTTCTAGTGTTTGTTAGCAGCATCAGACTTGTAGCTCCAGAGCGTAAAATAAGAAGCAAAGTTTGGACAACGAAAAGGGTCTTGCTTAATCGACTGAATTTGGGGTTGAAGGAAAATGTGTAGTTTTTGGGGTGTTTGTTTTGTTTTTGTTTTTTTGTGGGAATTTAAACTGAAACAAACGAGCTGTAATGTGATTAAAAGCAGTTTAATATTTTGGGCGGCTGATTCTCGCTTCGGTACAGCTGACACAGTATTTTGGTACTAACTAGTGTAAATTCTGTGACAGTTCTTTAAGAAATTAGCCCTGTATGTTGAACATGAGCCTTTCAGTGTGATGTATTTTTAATGTTTCTTCTGGTTCTGATGGTCTCTGATAATCTCTACTACAGGCATCCAGAAGCGCTCGGTTGAGGAGTGCTTCAAAATCCGTCACTTCGAGAACAAGTTTGTTACCGAAACCAAGATCTGCCGAGCCTGAGCGAGCAGGAATTCAGGAGGGGACAGACACGATGATGGGGGGGGTCTCCTCCCCCTCCCCCACTCCATCGCAGGGGAGGGTGAGGTGAGGTGAAGTGAGATGAAGTGAGCTGAGAAAGGGAGGGAGGGCTGAGAGGAAATGGCCTGTCTTCCAACTCCTGCTGTAGAGCTTAGCTTAGGGTGTTGTTTTGTTTTACAGAGCAACAGCAGACTTTTCTCTTCTCCCTCTTAGGGCCCAGTGACGTAGATCTCCTCAGCGTTTTTGTGTAATTTCTTACAGTTTTGTCGCCACCCGCTACAGCTCCCCCTACAGCCTAAGGGCTGCTATAACCTTGTTTTCAGTGCGTTGGTTTGGTTTTCTTTCCCTGTGCCGGTCAGCCTTTTTTTGTGGATAAGGGTTTGTGTTCTATCTTAAATATCTTGTGCAACACCTTGATGACCCTTGACCTTGATTAATGCTTTCTTGGCAGAAGTGAGTATTATTACTAAAGCACACGGTGACAAACCTCTGCTCTCACTTGTCCGTTATGCTCCGTTATCCTTTCCTGCTCCTAATCACCGCTCAGTATACATGTACCCATATGATATCTAGCGCTCTGATAAGCTTTTACAACTCATCCTCTTTGTGTTCGACTGTATTTGAGTAACTGAACATATCGTGTCACGTGTGACTCATAACTTCAGCATGTCTACTGTACTGTAATGTAGCATTGGTTATGGAACCTTTGGTCAGGAAGCCTGTTTCCCTGCTGATTTATACCGTTCAGAACAGCCAATGGACATGAGTTCTCAAGAGCCAAAATGTGGCGTAATAAATTGCGTTCAGCGAGCTGTAATGTCACTGTGACAGATTTAGAGACTGTAAGCAGTTTTTCTGGCCAGACGATATGAGGAAGCATGAAGTTTTCAGCTCAGCAGTATAAGGGTTTCTTATTTGGCGACGTGAACGCACTCAACCCTACCGGAGCGGTTTCGGACGCAGAGCGGTTTAGCCTGGCCGTCTCTGTCTCGTTCGCTCTGTCTCTTTTCATCTCGTCTTGTGAGCTCTGGCTTGTGGCTTGTTTGTCACTGGCTGCCTCACAGAGTTTTACCCCTGAGCTGCTTTCTGCTGCTGAGACCAGTGGTGTGTTAACCATCACTCGACTGATCAGCTTCTTGAGTCATCTGTTCACACCTTTTTAATCTTTGAGAAGGACTTATTTGTGTATCGCTCATCCTCCAGCTACAGGATGATGCAATAAGGTGTAAAAATAAAAACGAATATACCAGCAGCTTTTTCTTTTCTACCTTTTTTTCTTCATTTTTATATTTTTTTTTCTAATGTATGGTGCAATTTCGAAAGCCCTGGTTACGTGTAGAGCAAGTTTTCAGACTGAACGGCTGTCAGAACCTTGACTGGCCGCTGGCGCGTGGACAGGCCATGCTGAATATCTGTGTATGCAGGTCAGTGTAAACATGCATTTGCTCAGTATTGCTGTAAGTATCCCTGAATCCGCTGCACCTGTTTCTTCCAGCTGGGTTTTCCATTGTAATTCTCTGTTAACTCCAGCGAATTCCGCAGGGCACCATGTCTCTTCATTTGTTTTTGGAATCTCCTGCATTGTAAAACCAAGTTGATGAGAATTTTGGAAAGGTCAGTAGTTTGACTGCTGCTTAAAGAACGACAATCAAGACTGGAGTGTGTTGCTGTTTTCTGTTGTTTCTGCAGACAAACAGGCCTGAAAGATGCTGGACTGTTTAAAGAACGATGAACTACTGTCATGTTAAACTGCTGACTGAAACTGACTTTGTGCATCGTCAAAAATAAAAATGCATTTCTTTACTTAAATTGCATGTTTTCATTCATTTGAATCTCTTGTATATCAGCGATTCTCAACCTTTTCAACTGTAAAGTCCACCTGTTTATCACTAGAAAGCATGAAGGCCCGACAAGAAAACAAAACATTTTTGCTTAAAACGTTCATTTTTAGGAAATGTTCAAATGTTCAATGCAGTGTTTGGGAGCCACAGTATGTGATGTTTATCATTTTTATAATTTTTCTAAAAAATGAACAGGTTGAGCTTGTTTTAAACCAGAAATCTGCCTGAATATTGACAAATTAAATGAAATATTTATGACATTTTTCACACCAGTCACTCTTGAGTGAACAGTTGAAACTTCAGAGGAGAAAACTTTATTTTTACAGGCAAGTAACAAAAAACAGACAAGTCTGCTTTGTGCGCTGTTGCTGAGGCTGTCTTAACATTGTTTACTGTTTGGAAATATTAAATATTTAAGTTCTTTCTCCACTGTTTTTTACTACATAGTGCTCAGCCTTCTGCTGGCTCCCCCTCTGTATAGGCCTTTGTGCTTTGTGGCCCAGTGGTTGAGAATTCCTTTTGTATGTGTCTGAAGCTCTGATCTCTTCAAATCACAAACTTGCATTGTTTTCTGTTTGATAATGCAGTGTTTTTTTTTAATAATGTCTTGAGTCACTGCTTGCACCTTTTAACTAGCTTTGTATGAATAACGCCATGAAAACTGTAATTCTTACATTTATCACATTTTAAGCTGATTAGAGTTTCCTGATTATGCAAGACGTTATACAGACGTGGACTTTTGAAAATGCCCCATTTTTCTTTAGCATCACATTTTGCGTTACTTTGCCTCTGCGGGCGTTGGTGTTTTCAGAGAGTTTCGCCTTTGGCTTTGCAGAGTTCATCATGCAGAAGTGCAGCCGAATCGCTCCCTGTGTGCTCTGGCAGGGTTTTGCTTCTGGTGGTTATGTGGCAATAACTTTTCATGACAAGGCCACTCCAGGATGTAAGCCTTTGTGTGAAGGCTGGCCAGCTCTTTCTTGTTAACTGGCCTCATGCGGAGAGACCTTAATGCTCTGATTTCTTATCTGCCACTCTGGGCCTCCCAGCGCGGTAAAGAGGAGGGTGGGAGAAAAAAAACGATAATTATCACTGTAATTAGATTAAGAATAGTAGTACTTGGGGCTGTAATGATGCACAAAATGCCAAATTCATTCAGACAGTGGTGTCTCTATACAGTAACTTTTTTCAATACAGCAGAAATGAGTGCCTGAATATGTGCTTTGTGTTCATATATAAATGTTTCTTGAGGCCAAGATTCAGTTCAATTTTTGTTTTTTTTTTTTAAATGTTTGGCTCAAATAAATAAAAGTGAACCACACAGTTATATCCACACCTAAAAAGTTCATTTTAACACTGTCAGAGAATCTGTGGTCCCAACTCCAGAGTAAAATCACTCTGTTGTTTGAGTTGCGTGCAACCTGACAGTTTCACCAAGCAACTCAAAAACTATGTTGTCCTTGCTATATAAAGTTATTACATATGTAGTGTAATTTACATATTGGCAGCATTTTTATAGTCTTTTGTAGAATCTTTTCAGCTGTCGCTGCCTTTCTTTTCTGTATTTGCATATCTTTTATCTATCTTTAATAGTTATAATCAATTATGATTATTTTATATTAGACTTAAGTCTTTTCTGTGTATGTTAAACATTTGAAAATCAGTGTTTAAATAGCCATTTTTTTTATATTTGACACCTCACTCATCCTGTCCTAGGAGCACTCTAAGGTCATTGAGGTTCACATCAGCCTCTTGTTCTGTAATCATTTTCTCCATTTGAACACTAAAGGACTCTGAGTGCTCTGTAAAATTAAGAGGCCTCAAGAGATGAAAGAATTAATAATCTGCTGATGTAGATCACAGTAATAGACTAACGAGGAAGAATTAAAGTGGCACAAGCAGCCGTTTAAACAGCTGTTACCCCTAGCTGGCTAGTTCACATAGCTGTTTACAGAAGCGTTAGTTTCAAGAAACACGTTTGTTCAAACTGAGAAACTACCAACTTCGTAAAGTGAATCAGGAGGATCTCCTGGCCAGGAGGGTCTTTTTAACCATCCAATAAGCATGTCCTGTTTTTTTTGTTTTTTTTGCCCTGTAAAATCAGTCATTTAAAATGATGATGATGTTAATTGTGATCACCTGATGCATTATCAGAATTTTATTGGGTGTTCCATGAAACTTGTTTCATGAAGTTTTGATTGAGTTTCGAGGAGAGTTTCAAATGAGTTGTAGGATGGTTTACACAGACCATTAGTGCAATTCAGTTTCATGTAAGTTTCAAGCCATTAAAGTTGCATTAAAGTTTCACTGTGTAAAGCCAGCCTTAAACTTGGGTTATTGCTCAGTGTTAATGACCCTGAATAGAGTTAAAGAACATTTGTACACTGTAACCTTAAATTAGTTGACTTTACTAACAAAATGATGCAAACTTGCCTCAAATTAAGTTACATAGCAGGTTTGATCTTAACTTTAATCTGAGTTATAGTTCCTTTCTAATTTCCAGTGATCCACACGTCAGCAGTGAGTAAGCTTAACTCAAACAGATCAATAATGTAAATGGTTTCCATTAAACTGGCAGTACTTTTTGAAGTTCTACTTAAATTAATTTGGTTAATTTGAATAAAGATGTATCCTTGTTTAATGGATTACCAACAATTAAAGCAGGTCCATGATGCTGTATGGACTGTTATGCACAGTGAGGAATGAATGATAAAGCTAACTGCTCATTTCTGAGAACGCCAATAGTTTAACACCCATTTGCTGTTCAGTCAGCGCCCATCCTGATTGGCTGAACAGAAAACCTGAACACACAACACCATCAGGGAGGATAACAAAACATATAAAAAGCATCCAAACTTCACATTTACCACGCGGGCCGCGCTCTGACACAAAACACTTAGCAAAGAGAATTATTTTCATGAATTAAAATGAGTTAATTAACAGAACCAACAAAACTGCTAAGAACACTGGGAAACTTTTTGGGCACAAGACTCATCAGTCTGTAGGATTAATCCACACGAGCTGATCTTAACTAGATTTACCTCAAAGTTAGGATTATGCTAGAAATGGTATGTGTTACTAGATTTGTATTAGCAGTTTTAATAAATTAGTAAACCAAGGAAAAAAGTTTCTACAATTATGTTTTATAGTGTAGTGAACAGTGTTACACATACTAGTGTTCATAATGAACACTTCGGGCCGTTTAACACTCCTGGGTTTGTTTGTACTCCAACAGTGTCACTTTTATTAAATGAATGATTTTAATGTGTATTGAGGCATTTTGAGACTAATAGATACCAAAATACATTTCTGTCTTAATCCGCAATAAGGCGCTGTTGGTGGGGGTTCTGTGAGGGGAGTGATTGTTGTGATGGTTAGACAGAGTAAAGAAGCTCACAGGAACAAAGAGGTTTGATCTCCAGTTCTGACAGAAACATCACTGTAACACAGCAGGAAGAATCTTTGGGACGAGACTCTGAACGTTACCTGCGCCTGTCAGTGTGAACTGCACTGCATAAAAGCATCTGTTAAATACGTAAGAATAACACCTGATTTGAATGTTGTTTATCTCCTTCATAAATAGAAGCATCTGCAAAATATGTAAATGTCAGGAGAAAGTTTTTTGAATGTTAATTTTAGTGATTTACATTTCGGTTTTGCTTCTGTAAAGAATAATGAAGTGAGATGAGCACATTTTCATTAGATAAGTATAATATAATATAAAAGTATAATAAACAAACAAAAAAACAACAACAAAAAAGATAAGTAAAGTATTAGTTTTGGGGATCATTTCCAATCAAAAGTAATGAATCACAAAAGTTTTGAATATTACGATACTGAGCATATCACAGATATTTAGTGTTCATGTCATGGAAACCAAAATTTCCTCCTTTTTTGACATCATAAGGTTTGTAGTATTTGTTAAAGTTCCTAGTCAGTACAGTCACATTACAAAAATTAAGCTCCAAAATATTGGATTAATTGTTTTTGTGATGTCACAACTACCCACACACACACACACACACTTGCTATATTTCTCTGTTCATCGTGAAATTTTCACACTATGTAAAGGACAGGACTTGTGCTCAAATTATGTGTGAAAATAAAAATTGGAAAAAATTAAAATATGTTTCTGTTGTAACGATGTGTGTTCGACTCTCCAGCTCACAGCAGTTTAGCCTCACATTCACAGTAAGTTGTAAGGTTATCAGCCCTGAGTGCTTTTTGAGCCAATCAGAAAAGAGGTCATTTACATGTATCAGTCTTTAAGGCACAGTGACAAAAACAGCCTGTTTGCTTTTAAGGAATGAAGAGAGGTTTTTGATTGAATTGAATTCTGACAGATTTGGGTACATTAACCTACCCCAATATTACGAGTGGATCTCAGGAAACAGAATAAAATGCAATAACAATGTAAGATATGAGTCTTTAAATATCGCACTGGGACTGTGTTGCACTTCTCACCCCTCGTTAAGAGTCACATCTGCGCACTGAGATGACCGGAGCAGATACAGTTCATAACTCCAGTCAGATACGTTCATGACCTCGTCCAGCCCCCACACACATACGCTGAGAGAGCCAGCGATGAGTTTAAAATGCCTAAAGCGTTTTTTATATGTTCAACTCCACCACAGTCATCGTGTGAGTGGTTTCTGTTCTATTACCAATTCTGTAAACCGTCAGTGGTGAAGGTTCTAATATCAGCAGTAGAAAGTGAACCGCAGTAGATGCTCATTCTCATACAGCACAGTGTTTTAAAGCTGGACTGTGTAGCTAGTCTGGCATGGACAGCTTGTATTAAATGGACTTTGCATCAAGTATTTAAAGATCACACAGAGGTTTCAACATTTGAATATATTGTTCTCTGTTTTTGTTTTTTTTATAGAGAAGATAAGAATGTTTAAGTCAAACTGATGAACTGTCTGAGTGGTATAATCATAATTAATGCGTTTTGGTGAGATTTCATTGGGCAGAAATGTAACATCTACCTTTTCAGACTGGAAGTGTTTTGATTTGTATTTTGTAAACATGATTTCCTCTCGTCACGTATCATTAAGCACATGCACAGTATGTGAAATGTACTGTTTGTATTCATAGTTTTTGATAGGATTTTTTAAATGTGGCTGTCACGCCATTTAGTATTTAAGTCCGGGCTTTAGTAACAGTCATTACGAGGTATTGTTTCTTCCTGAACTTACTGAGCGTTTACAAACCTGTGTTATTTTGCCTGTTATGACCCTTGCTTTGATTACCTGACCTTGTCTTTTGCTTCTCCCTTTTGTACCTTTGCCGGCTTGTTTTTGGACCTGTGTTTTTGACCTTTTTTGCCCGATTATCTGACCACGATATCTGCTCATCCCTTTGGCTTTGGCTGCCTTGGGTTATGATCACTACGGTGATCCTGTGTTGTTTTTTGGCTACGACCCATGCTTGTTTTTTGACCACGCTTCTGTTGAACTGTAATAAAACCTGGTTTGCCCTTTTTATCCATGAGCATCTGAACTCTGTCGAATCGTCACAGTGGCACTACTTTGTTTATTTTCAAAGCCTGTATAAATGCATGCGAAGAGTTTTGGAACTTTCCTAAAAGAATATTAAACCATAAAATTTATATTTTTTCAGAATTTATGACTTTTACCCCGATCAGTAAATGCTGTAGTCAAACCATTGACTTATTTTCATGAATAGCTCTTTTCAACGACAGCGAGTCTCCCAGGTTAAAGACCACAAGAGCTAAAGTATCTCTTTCTCCTAGAGAAAATATCTCACATCTAGTAATCCTAACGTTGTGTTTCAGCATCTTAGGTTTGTCCTTTTTATGTTCTATGCTGCTAACTTTTATTAGCTGCAGGTCTGACAGATGATTTTATCAAATACAGGAGGATTTAAAAATGCTGTAAAACCACAAAATAGTACAGATCATTGATATTTCTCAAGTGTGACTGTGACTACACACATATGCAGTATTTTTGTTTTTAATAATGTACTTGTTTTTAATGATGAAAGCACGCTGTTTTTTACTCACACTTCTGAGAAAGACGCCCCTTTTGAGAGATGTCTTCGCATGCTCTCGTCCACAGTCGCTGTTTTGCAATAAATTGCAACACCTGCTCAGTTCAGTTTCCTCAGAAACAGCACATTGTTACAAGAACGAGGCCTTCCTCGAAATAAAGCTATAAATACATCCAGTCCCTTTAAAAACAGTGCTTTTATTTTCTTTTCTCCCACATGTCCCTTTTCTTAAAAATGTCTTTTTATGAAATTAGTGTGTTTGTATGAAGCTCCGCTGCATTTATTGGTCACAAGATTTCACTATTGCATAATCCTTATGTTTCCCTTGTTTATGAGAGGAGATGCTCTTCTTCTGAAACTGTCACATATTGTTGCCAGAGTTTAATTGCTTTATTGAACACTTGTTCAAGTGTGCACTCATCAGGTTGCTTGAACATTACGTAACGCACATTCCTATGGCCGTTTAACACAGCCATAAATATATTTATTCTTTCATAAATATTCTGCATTGACTATTTTACATTACTGGGCTTACAGTGCATAGATCATTTATATTCCCCATCAGGAATTCTCATGAATAAGAAACATTGACTATAGGAGCAAATGTGAAGGGCTTCCTCCAACTCAAGCTTAGTCTGCAAGCTTTGTGGGGTCTTACCCTCAACAACAGTTACTACAGTAAAGTGGTCTGTCCCGGGGGATTTGATTTGCTGTTGCTATCTGAGGTTCTGTCTTCTGTTCTATCTCGAGGGATACCCTCACTCTTTTTGCTCAGACTGCAGTGCCGTCACCTCAGTCGTTGTGCAGGAGATCCTGCGGTGCAAATGGAAGCTCTCCGGCAGCTCTGGCCTGGAGAGACGCCGCTTGAACTCATCAGTGGTGAAGTAGTACATGACTGGGTCCAGGCAGGAGTTAAAGCTGGCCAGACACAAGGTTATAGGATGGGAGCGTAGGACGGCATTCCTGAATGTGCAGCTAACATTTTTCGACTTGGCCAAGAAGTCCAGAGGGAAGGTGATGTGATAAGGCATAAAGCAGACCAGGAAGACACACGCGCAGCTCAGCACCATCTTCAGTGCTTTGCGCTTTTCTCCGGCATCTTGCAAGATGCAGTTCTTTTCTCGCAGGCTTGCAGCGGTTAACCACGTGCAGGTGAGGACCACGCCTAGCGGCAGGAGGAAACCCGCGATCTCGGCCATGGTGACGAGAGTCACTCCGCCAGCCATGGACAGCGACACCATCGGCAGCTCTGAGAAGCAAATGTCGTGGGTTGAAGAGTCTTTTCTCAGCAGGGGAAAAGGCAGACATCCGATACAGACAATGAACCAGCCCACCGCACACCAGCCCCTGTCCCGCCGCCTTTTCGTACCGTTGTAGCGCAGCGGGAAGATGATGAGCAGGCACCGTCTCACACTGATGCACGCCAGGAAGTAGATGCTGGCGTACATGTTCACATATTTCAGATAGAAGCAAAACATGCAGAGGGCGTGACCGAAAGGCCAGGATTTGTTCAGGTAGTAGTAAATGCGCAGAGGTAATGAAAGCACCTGCAGCAAGTCTGCGATGGCCAGGTTGATCATGAAGATCACAGCCTTCTTTGTCTCCTTCACGTACACGTGGAAAACCCAGAGTGCAAGAACATTGCTGATGAGCCCCGGAACCAGGATTACAGAGTAGATGATGGCATAGATGTAATGCTGGTATTCCTTTATCTCTGTTGCGTTTGCACATTTGAAATCGCTTTCATTCATTTTCCTCTCATTTGTCCAGTTCTGAGGTTCGCCCTGAAGCTCCTAAGAGTGCTGATCCTTATTTGCTTACTCTGAGGTCATTCTGGAATGAGGGTTGAGATCCTCTGGAACACCTTTTTTCCTGAATCCAAGTATATTATCCAGACTCGTCTCTGGCAGTGGTGCAGAAATGGTCATATGTTTCCATCAGGGTGTCCCATCAGTCATCTGGTGTAGGCCATTTCCTAAAGAATGCCTTCTTAATTTTCTAGCACTGGGATGCTTTCCTTTGTGTGTCCAGTCCTGAAAGACAGCAAAGGAGCAAGACAGATTAGGAACAGCTTTGCTAAGTGAATAGGCTCAAAATTAGTCTGGGTTAAAACCCTAAAACCTGTCACACATGCTCTGAACACAGAATTTGCATCAGTGATGGTCATATAACAGCTATGGTATTAGCTTTTTAGCAGGATGATAGCGCTGGTATAACTGGCTCAACCATTTATTTGCATCCTTTTTGAATATTTTGAAGATAAGCAAAATAGAAGAGCTTGTTAAACGTGTGTTTGTTCTCACTCACTCGTTTACTTACACAGTGGCTTCAGTCAGGCAAAGCGGACGCTTCACTCCAACTCAGAGGGGATATTGTATAACAGCCAGCCAGCTGCAGTTAAACATTACCTTAAATTCCCAATCAGGAAATGCTCAGTGCCCAAGCTCTACAGGTTTCACTTTGAATTTAATAACCAGTCTCGCTGCACAGGAAGCTCTCCGAGGCATTTTCTGATTCAGCTGAAATGTTTCACTTTCATTCAGCACTTTCATCTGTTATAATAGATGGATCAGGAAATAAAACTATCATGGTCTTTTTTGTATTTATTTTAGTATTTCTGTACAGTGTCATGCCAAATCTGTAGTGGTTATTATTTACCCCCTTACTGTTTATGTTTAACCCGTCTGTGGGTCCAGACTCCACTTAACTCCATACTCTAAGTAGTAATTTTAGAGTAATTTCTGAGTAGTTCAGAGTAGTTACTGGTCATTAGGGTTAATAACTGAATACTAAGCCTAACTTTGAATTTTTATTGTTTTATCTATAATAATGACAGAAATTATGTGGATTTAATGTATTTTTGATGCTTTATTCATTTCAGGAATTATGTAAGAAATGATCAATAATATACTGTAATTAATAATGTATTGTATTGTAATAATCTGTTTACATTGTTGGTCAAGTTATCTGCCTTAAGATTTGATCTCCACTTTCGGAATGTAATGAATTCTGAATATTCAAAAATGCAAAAATTTAAACACCCCCAGTCAAATTAGATGTTTTGTTGATTTGCTAAGTGAAATAATTAACAGTGTTGTCCTTTACATTTACACAACTTTACACAACCAACCTCTTTTCTTCACCTCAACTAAACACACAGCATGATAACCTTAACTCAGAGTCAGGTGGGCTCTGTTTGACATTCAGCTACGTGATTTTCCCGTTTTCAGGCTTTCCGTTTGACAGTTTGTGGGCTTAAAGAGTTAAAACGAGTGCAGTGCATTCTTCCACCCACCCTTCACACTTCAGCATATGGGACTTTCCATTTTCACAGCTGTCTGCACCATATTGTTGCACTAGCTCGCTTTGCACGTGTTTAACAGTGTGTTCAGCTTTTGTGGTTATACTAAATTGTACAGTGCCCTGAAAAACTATTAGGACAATGAAGGAAACCCTGTACATGCTGATATCCTGTGAAGTGAAAGCATCTCAGAAGATGCCAGCATATAGGATATTAATCATTATGATGAATGTAGTTATCGTACAGTTAAAAAGTAAGATGCTGCCCTCCTGACCGAATGGTAATTCATTTTTCACCAGACATGGTACTTGCTGTTCTGCCCTAAGACTTCAGTTTTCATCTCATCAGACCAGATAGTCTTTTTCCTCATGTTGCCAGAGTCCTCGCAATTCTGCCAAGACCCGGTTAATGGAGTGCTGCAGAGATGGTTGTCCATCCAACAGGTTTCCTCATCTCTTTTAGAGTAACCATTGGGTTCTTTTTTACTTCCTTGACCAGGGCCATTCTTACGTGGATGCCCAATTTGGCCGGATGGACAGAATATTGGAAGGCCATCGAGGAAGGTTCAAGGTTGTGCCAAGCTTCCATTTCAAAATTAATGAGGCCACATGAAAACACTCAAAGCCTTAGGTATTGTTTTATATTCTTGCTCTGATTTACTTTACATAATATGAACAGAGACATTCTTGAACATGGCTGGGATTTTCCTGCAATGCAGTGTAAACTTCAGTTGAGTTCTAGACACATCAAAGGATAATTAAAGCAAGCAAGATGCACATTTTGTAGTGCCACAGCAAAGGGTCTGAATACTTCTGTGAATAAGAGATTTTATTTTTTGATATTTAGTTATTTTTTGAAAAACTCTAGAAACAAGTTACAGTTTTGGAGATACAAGGTTTTCTTCCAACAACAGCGGTGTGAGATGTGTGTGTGTGTGTGTGTGTGTGTGTGTGTGTGTGTGTGTAAATATATATAAAATAATATTTTTGTGTATAAATCAGAAATTCTGTGAAGTCTAGATAATAAATTGATCCAAGATTTTCTTTTAGTACTGTAGCAACAAAATTAGCCATTGTTGCAAACCGTTTCCTGCAAACTGTGCATTGGTTTTCGCTTTTTTTTTATCATCCTGTACATGCAAACCTCATTAATGTTAAGAGAAGCTTCTTCCCCTTATTTTCCCTACACAAGTTCATATTTCTTGGTTATACACAATAACTACATTGAACCTGCAGCACAGTGATATTACCTCCTGTTTGTGGATCTGTATGGATAAAACAATATTATATGTTTATGAAAGGAAAAGCAATCAATTTGATTGATAAGAATCTCAGTCAGGATCTTGGAAATGATCGTTTACAATCAGCTGTTGAAATGGACATTGAGACACAATGATGGTAGCAGGTTTGTGAAGCGAAGAAAAATGTTGTTCTTCTAAGGCAGGAAATATACAAACGTTCTTAAGACTGATCTCAGAGCCTTTTACCAACAATATACATGAACATATATGATTCAAGAGGAGAGTTTTAAAGATTGCATTGCAAGATGTATCTCTACAACAGAAAGGCTAGATTATAGTGAGCTACAGTGCAGAAATCATGTTGCTGAGTTTTATTGAGAAAACAGCTTTACTGCTGGCAAATAAAAATTAAAGTAGGAGAAAGGAAAGAAGATCTGATGTTAAAAATGGTGAAGCTGAAGACGAGGCTTAGACATCTATTACAGCATCTCAACATGGTCTTATTGATGAAGAAACAGAATGAAATGTCCTGAAATGTGTGAATTCTGTTGTTGATTTAATAGGAAACGTGTTTTCAGTGGTCTGTATTTCACTGGAAACAAAAAATTCAAAATACAGCAAAAACACAACTGACTATGTGTGAAGAAGGTTTTTCACTGGCCAAATGAAATTGTCTGATCCATTTTTGACCCGTTAGAAATGCGCTGGCTGGTAAGTCTTCTGTGCAAGTTGTGGTCTTCACTGGTTTATTATTATACGTGGCCTATTTGTGACCATGGCCTTAATTTACCTACAGACACGAGATCATCTCTAACCTACACACTTAACAATGACGTGCCTTTTCATTTTGGATGTACGGTTCTTGAAAAAATCTTTAGTTTGTGTAGAACCTTTACGATGTGTGGAAGATTCATTACCTTTTAAAAAAGGATCATTTTTGGCACCTTTTTAAGTTGAGCATTTATACATTTTGGGGAGAGAATATTATGAGAATATTATGTTTGATTAAATTGGTTATTTATGTGTGTAAATATCATATATTATTTATTATTTATAGTATTAGTATATTAGTATAGTATTTATATATATATATATTTATATACACACTTGAAACAGCCATCAAGTACGTGTTATTCCTTTTTCAGCTCAAAAAAACAGCAGAAAACATATATATAACAGTAAATTACACAGAAGCCTCAACAACTAAACATGATATCTTTTTTTGTATTTATTGTGTCTCTCTTTGGCTTTATTGCAGCTTCCATTCTTTTCTGATTTTTTTTGCTTTCAGTTTTTTAAAGAATTCTGCAGAAACATTTCTCCACACCTACAAAGTTCAGTCTTAGAAGTTGGTTGCATTTTCTTTCTTGGGATACAAGTAATCCTGAACACATCCAGTGATGTTGAGGTCTGGACCCTGGGGTGGTCAGCCCAGTGTTCTGAGAACAGTTTAATTTGCAAATTTTCTATTTCCTTTTCTCACTAACAGCTTCTTCACAGCTACACATCCTTTCAGACCCATAGCGCTGAGTCGTCTTCTCACAGTAGAAAAATGGACAGAAACACCTGTGGATTTGTTTATATCTTGATTTTTGAATGGAGCTTGATTTTCTCCTCTCTCAAAGATGGAAGCTTTTAGTGCTGTTTATCTGATGGTGTTAGTTTTGTGGTCTCACACGATTGTTAGGAGTGTCATTTTCTCTGTTTCTCTGTTTTTTCCTTTGATTTTCCCCTTCTTTGTGCAAATGGAGTATGTTATATCTAATTTACGCAGAAATATCTCCTGAAAAATGAGCTTGTTTAATGGCAGGACTCTCACAAACTCATGAAAAGGATCAATAGAGTTGACATGACTTACATACAATCGGTCCAGTAAATTCTAAGTACAACAGAATGACCTGCTTGCTATGACAGGTACAGAGGACTGATGACCTGTAAATGTGTACAGTAGGATCTCTGTTTTGCACGTTGTGTATATGATGAATGCATCTCATTTGCTGAATATGATTCTTGTGTTCTTAACTGCATAACATGCTGAACCTCACAAAGCATCAGAAAGAAAGATGGTGGGAAGATAAATTCTAAACTAACCACAAATGACCAGAAATACCCATCGTTTATGTTCTGCACAGTTGCATTTTATTTATCTTTTCATCTCTAATGCTTCATTATTTGAGTGTAATGCACCAAACACTGAATAGCACCTAGTGTTCATCTCTCACTGTTTTGTGCTGAATAACAAAAGGCTCGAATATAAAGATGGAGGTCAGTAGGTCAGTGTTTCTTAGTCTCACTTCTGGCAGCCGACAGCCCTGCAGTTTCAAATGACTCTTGATTCAACACACCTGATCGGCTCTTCAGCAGGTTATCACGAGCTGATTCAGGCCTGTTAGGGTTGGGTACAGCTGAACCTGTGCAGTGCTGTGGATCTTTAGGAGCTCACTAGAACTAGTCCTGTTCCTTCATAATCCCTTTCTGCTTGTTCCTACTGC